GGGCGGGAGCGGGGGCGGGTATGGGGGCGGGGGCGGGGTGAGTATTAACATCCCCGTCCCCGCCCCCGATTTTATCAATCGGGGAAAACCCGAACCCGAACCCGATAAACACGGGTTTTCCCCATCCAAATCGGGGCGGGTTCGGGCGGGTACCCAGGGAGCAGTTTAGATTGTCATGCCTAGTCCCATTACTCCATTCCATTCAGTTAGGCACATTCTCCTAATCTTAGAAAACCACTTACTTTTTCAAACTCCTTATTCATCTCTTTAATCAAGTGGGCTTGATCTAGAAAAAGATTTCAACCCCCTCAGTTTTTTCTCTTGATTCTTCATCCTTGTCTCAGACTCCAGCATCATAGTGGTCACCATATGAGCACCAAAGTCTGGATCTTCCAACAGTGGGAGCATTGACAACATGTGTAAAAACCAAAACTCCATCACAGCTAATGACCCACTGGCTCCCATGACCAAATGCAAGTAATGTGGCTTTGATGGTGGTGATGGGTCAACCGAATTTGGATCTGGTTCACTGAAGGTCACTTCTCCAAAGTGGTTCTTTGTTTCCACCTTCCAATGTTCATCTTTGCTTCTGTTTTCAGGTTCTTGATCCAAAATATTGAGTGGTTGCAGTTTTCTTGCTTCTCCACCCTCAGTTTCTCCCTTTTCATTATGTTTCTTTTGCTTTTCTTGATCTTGCTTTTCTACTTGTTGTGTTTCTCCCTCTTAGGATGCTTCCTTTTCAATATTTGTGCTCCTCCCAATTCTTGTTTCTTTTCTGAATCTATTTCTGACTTCCTTTTGTCATCATCCTCTGCCCTCTGCTCCATTGGTTCATGGCTGTCCTCTTGAATCCAAATATCTAGATCAAATTCTGGCTGGAACTTTTTGAGCAAAGCCTTCACAAATTGCCACCATGATGCACTTGGATGGTCCTCTTTCCACACGTACCACCAAAAGAAAGTGCGTCCTCACATAGCCTTCGGCCTTCCCAACCCTTCGTATTTTTTCTTGCTCAATTATGCCTAAGGCCTCAAAATGCTGCTCCATGTTAATCAGACACCAATAGGATTCTTTTCCTTCAAATTTTGGAATTGTCTTCAAGAATTGATACCCACGGCTCCAAGATCAGAGCTCTGATACTAGTTGATAGAAACTGGATCAGATTAGTTGAGAAAATGGAGAAATTCACCTGATTACAGTATAATTGCAGAACTTTAAGGGTCTGCACCTGTCAGTGCCCAAAATCCCTAACTCTTCTCAATTAACAAGATACCCCAATCTCTCAAGCCTTTCTTCTATTTATAGGCAATATGCCTTATTTCTTATTATCCAGCCCCCTAACAAAATAACTGAATCTAACAATTAACTAAATAAGGCCTCAACTAACCATTTCCCATCAAAGGACATATGATATTGTTGTATGATACGTAACAACATTACAAAAAGAGTAGAAGATGTTCTAGAAACATAAAAAGCCTTATAATATTGATTACAAGAATAATTCATATTATATGAACATAATTTAATTTATTAAACAGTATTCAAATAACTCCTTTAAAAAAACAACAACAATAATAATAATAATAATTATGAGACTTCCATTTTTTCCTATAATTTTTATCTCATGTCCAAAAGTAAAGCAGAAATTTATAAGACAAGAAGACCATCTTTGGAATTAAAGATTTTCTCAAATTATAATCAACTACTGCAGAAAAGATAGCTAAAAAATAAATAAATAAAAAACTGAGTATATTTATCAAAATAATGTATGTTCATGATTATTTCCAACCACATAAGCATCCAACATTCCATTCATTGCAATCATATTATGACTTAAAAGTACATATGTAATATAACAAGAGTTAATCACTTATACACTGTCAGTGTAAAGTTTTTTTATACTAGCAACCAATTATATCTTTTAATTGTGTCATGTCACTGTTAAAAGTAAATGTGTTTACAGTGACATGGCATAATTAAAAGATATAATTGGTTGTCAATGTAAAAAACCTTTATACTGGCGGTGTATAAGTGATTAACTCATATAACAATTAGCTGATATCAAGCCTGTGTTTTTCTCTCACTTAAAATCCCAATCACGTTTAAACATTCTGAACTTGACAAACAATGAAAAAGTAAGCATCCTTCTTCAGATTGCAAAATATCAAAAAGAAGGAATAAAAAGAATGAGTTAATAAAATGTAAAGGAACTCACTGTATTCCACTGCATGTCATGCAAATGAAAGTCCAAAAATTTGTACATACATATTGTGGTCCCTGTACAAATAATGGCATATTCATCAATTGGAAATCACCTCATAACAGAAACAAAACGATCATAACTATTCACAAATACTCAAGAACTCATCAAGCATAACATCATATAAAACCGAAAAAAGAAAATCATATGATCAACTTCAAGTTTTTTCTTTTTAGAAACCACCTTTGGAAAATGCTAAATTAATATTAGGTTAATTTCGTCTAAACCCCAAATCATTTTAATTTTGGGAACCCACAAAAAGAATACTTCAAAATTAAAATTCTCGATGTCAAATGTTTGAAACATTTCCAATCCTTCTCAGCTCTCAACAACTATATCCCTACTTCAGCGCCAAAGGTTTAAGACTTTAAGCTTCAAATTAATCATTAAACACGAAAACCCAAAACATAAAGGTAATGAAACTAAAACACACTTTTCACCAAACCAAATAAGAAAAAATAAAATCAAATTCAAAAACGAGTTGAATTTACCAAGCTATTGCAGTTGATACACCTTCGATTCGGCGGAAGCTTCATGAGACCCCTGATAATTTTCTCGTTCTTCTCTTCTTCCTTTCTGGTTCCCATTTCCAAACCCCAAATGAGAGACAAATAAACCCTAAAAACTGCGATCGAAATCAGAGCGAGAAAATAAAATGCAGAAATTCCAATTTCAGAAACGGAGAACTGAAATTTCCACCACCGAGAATAACTAAACGGTGGTGGCAGCGCTCGATCTAGGGTTTTGGGGTTCCCGAACTGGCGAAAGGTAGAAGATGAAGAACGGGAAATGCTTTGTGAATTGTTTGGTTCACATAAAATGGATGAACAAGGGAACAAGAGAATGCCAATAAGAGAAACATTTGCTTTTTCCACATTTTTTAAATTTAAATTTTGTCAGAAAAATTTTAAATTCATTTATTATTAAATAGGCTAAGTTATGTCTCTATCCATATGTGATTGTTTATCTCTATTTTAAATAATTTAAAATAAAAATATTTAATTTTTTAATTTTAAAAATATAAAATTTTAATTCTCAAATTTATATAACATTTAGTAATATATCATTTAGAAATATTAAAAAAAATTAAAAATTTATT